TATTACATAATATATTATATGTAATATATATTATACACTTGTTTTTTGTTTTGTTTTTTTTATTTATAATATACTAGATAGATAATATGATCTATTATTGATTTTCTTTTAACGAATTAAACAAATTAAATGTAATATTGATTTTGTGTTGTTTGTTTTACCTTGGTCAAAGCTTTCTCATCGATATTTTTCAACAACGGACAATTTTGTACACGAAGAATTTCCAAGCTTGATAATTGACCGAAAGATCCGTTACCAATGTCAATTAAATTCGGCATACAACACATATTTAATTCTTTCAAATTGTTCATTACGGGAAACGCGTTATGTTCGTTTAACATTTTTATTGGTGTTTCGTCAAGACCTAATATTTCTAAAGCCATTGCCATGGATAATGCTTTTGGTATTTCAATGAATTCATTTCCATTCAATTGCAATTTCTTTAAGTATCTATAATATTACAAATAATAATATTAATAATAATGATATTTTTTTGTTTATAAAACAATGATGATGGTGATGATAATGATGATGTCTTACCTGGGTTTATAAAATATATATTCAGGTAATTCTTTCAGATCGCAATAACTCAAATCAAGTTCTTCCAAATATGGAAGATTATTTATTGCTAACGACGTAGGCTCTATTAACATTTTTAACGGATTGTTAGCAAGTATCAAAACTTTGAGGGATCCTAAATGTTCGAAGATATCCTGATTCAATGCGTGCAACAAATTATTAGCGAGATTTAAATATCGCAAATTGAGCGGCTCGTAAGCTTCCGGTGAAAATTTACCCTGAAAAAGAAACAAACAAAAAACCAATAATAATAATTAAAAAAAACGACAAATTTTTACGCGACGAAATGATAAAAAACACACAAAAAAAAAGGGGATGAAATATTAAACGATACTACTACGAATCCGTTTATCGTGGTAATTGATGTAATAAATGCATTTGAAAGAAAAAAAAAAAAAAAGAGAGAAAAAAAAGGAAACAAGATTTAGATGGTTTTTACCCCTTTCCTTACTTTTTTGTTTCTTTCCTTTTTCAAAAATGGACTCGTACAATTTTTTTTTGCCCGCGAATACGAATGAAATGTAAAATAAAATAAAATAAAGGATTTGGGTTCTCGTTACCTCGAACACATGGGGACTTAAATTTTCCGTAGTCAATTGATTATGACTCAGATCGAGCTCGGTAAGATTAACTATATTTTTGAAAGCACTATTATCTATTCTCGTAATCTGATTTTGTCGAAGTATCAATCTTTGTACGACAATTGACGGAAAAGGTTTTATATGAATCAATATATTTTTCATAAACGTAATCTCATCGATCGACGTTTTCGGCCATTGTCCGGCATCGAATGTGCTCGTCAAATTTCGTTCACTGCAGTTCACCAATTTTACTATTAAACAAATAATTATTATTAATATAACGTAATATTAAATACATATATATATATAAATGTGAAAATGTTATAATTAAAAAGAAAAAAATATAAATATTAAACTTGTATACAATAATATTAATTTTTAACAATTTTTATTATTATTCTTCCTTCTATATTTCTTATTATTA